GTTAGAGATTTACTCTACGTTAAGGTACAGTAGTACAGTCGTTCTAATCTTTAGCATTTATAATATCACTTGCTTTACAGAGTTGCAAAATATATTCAAAATTGTAGATATTGCTGCCTACAATTTCTAAAAAAAAAAAAAAAAAAACAATTTTTTACGTCCATCCGGGCAGCACCTCTTGCATTTTTAAAGCTGATGAGGGAGTATATGCAAAGTCAAACATAATTAAAAAACCTCCCATATCCGGTTGAGATTAATTGCCACTTCTGTAGATAGAGTTGTGCGGTTTAACTTTTATGCACTAAACAGAGAGCCAGTTTGATGCTTCAGAAGTCGAGAGGCTTTGAGTTTCGCTAAAACCCAGGTGTTCACAGAGAACGCCTAGTGGTGATTCCTCAGTTACTTCATCTTAACTTACATGTTCGTTCCCTGGGTCTCTAGCAAGATATCTCTGTCATGAAAAAACTAAAATCATTATGAATAAGATAACGTGACCAATGTGTTAACAGAACCGTTTTATATTAGCAGTTCCTGCTACGTTACCTTCACAAGCCCCCCAGCATTTCCTGCTGTCGGCTCCGTTGTAGATCGGCACGGATAGACCAGCTATTTCAGAACAGCCCAGGACTACTTTGTTAACCTTTATTACCACCACATTTACCTTGAAAAATATAAATCCATATAATTTTCATGTTACAAGTTATTTCGGAATGCTGTTGCCAAGTGGGATAATGAAATACTGTGGTAGAAAGTACCCGCTTTCCATGCGATGGGCTTCCCATTATCTGTAAAGCCGCGTCTGCTCTGGAGAACATCTGGCCTGGGGTGGTGTCAGTCGGTCGAGTTGCCCTCGAACGGCCCTTAGCCACCATTCCAGAGTTACTGTGGAGTTTGGCTTGTCTTTAGTTGTGTTTTACCCACCAAATGTGTCCTCGCTGCTGTGTGCCTTGGGTTAGTGCGTGGGATCGTGCTTGGCTGTGCAGCTTTTAGGTAGAGTGGGGCTTAAATGTTGTTTAAATCGTTCCTGGCAATCGGGAATATTTCAGTAGAGAGTAAATTGGTGGAGTGGGCAGTGGTTCCTTGAAAGCCTTTCTGTGTGTAGGCTGACACTGAACAGGGGCGAAGGGAGAGCCTGCCCTTGCTATTAACAGGTGTGTTTGGCAATACTGAGATACTTGAGTGAATGGGGGCTTATATGGAGATCTGCCATAAATCAGATAGATATTTTTGTGTCTGAACTGTGTATTTAAATGTACATACTGTGCTAAATCTGTTTCCTTTGTTCCAGTAGCCTTGTCAAAACCAGCCGCTGCTACGGGAAATGTATTTTTTGAGCATTTTAATCGGGGAAATTTTAAATTGTTCATGCAGCTATGTCAGACTTTGCTCTCCAGGTGCTATGTGTAGTGTTAGCTATCGTGCTCATTAAATAAATAGGGGGTTTTAGGCTCCAAGAATCCTTGCAGGAAAATGAAGAAAGAGGGAAAAAAAGGAGCTGCATTTCTTTTAAGGTAGCTCCCAGCACCATCTTTGAGACATAGCTGCATGTGCACTAAGCACGAGCGAGTCCTTCAGTAAAATATCAGCTGTGAGTTTGGTCCCTTCTGGTGCTCCTTGCAAAGAAAAGGCAGTAAAATGTCCCATACTTGGTGTTTTCTTTAGGAATGTTCAGTGCCAGCCGAAGGTGCAGGCAAGATCTGAGCTAAAACCTCAGGCGGTGCCGTGAGGCCGGAGTGGCTCCGGGGCCGCCTGGCCTGTGGGAGCAGGTGCTGCTTCCTGCATTCCCATGGAAATGGCTGTGATCCGCAGGCAGGGCCACGGCGCAAAGCAGCGCCCGCCTTTCCCCCTGGAAGTCATCCCGCAGCTAACGAGACTGAGGAAAATGAGCCCATCTGCCAGCAATAAAAGAGGAAGTATGCTGCCGTCGGGAAGCCTAGTTCTTCATGATCTTTAGAACTGAAGTTGAACCAGCCCAGTTGTCTTAACTAAAGTTTAGTCAAGACTTTAGTCATAACTAAAGACTAAAGTCTCCACCTCCTCCCAACACTACGTACTTAATCACGTTCCTACTACTGCTCATATTAGCTCATAAGCATTCTTGTCTTTGAGAAACACCGAGTTCTGCCTGCCATCCATCCCGTTTGCCGGCGCTCCCTAAGCAGCCGGAACGCAGCTGGCTGGTGGATGAGGGTGTCGGGAAGAGCGGGGTTAATGACACTGTTAATGGCAGCGCAGGCTCCTTTGCCTCGTGCTCCTTGCTGTCTCTCCTCTGCTGCTCCGTGGCTGCCTCTGGCACACGGAGCCAGCGGGACTCAGTAGGCCTGCGGAGGCTCCCGCACTTTTAGCCAGGAATCCGGAGAGCAGTCAACTTGGCGCCAGTGCTGGCGCGGGGTAGCGGAGCGGGGCTGGAGGCAGAGGGACGTTCCAGCGGCGTGGCTGGAAGTGCTCGGCTTGAGCTGCCCCATCTCGGCCAACTGCGCCCTCCGCTGCCCCGGCTTGCGGGGTTTCTTGGCGAGCGCCTACAGATTCATCATTTAGTAACTGGAACGTCTAATGAGAGGGAAAATGAGGAATCTATAAATTGGCCTGGAGGCAGAAGCTTGCTGCTCTGAGGAGTGCATAGAGTGGGGTGGAAATTAGCTCTTTTATGAGGTTGAAGCTCCTGCATCTCTGAAGACCTCCTGATACTGTGTGACCTTTATGCGCAGTTTTTTAGTGTGTTCCGTGTTGTACGGTAGGATTTGCTTAATCCTCTCAGATTGAAATCTACTCAATTACGAAAATAGATGCTTGCCAGTAATGCACTCTTTCTCACTACTCCTGCCAGCACTTTTTCTTTTCCATATTGCTATGTGAAAGACCCTTATAAACTAAGAAAACTGTCCCATTTCTGAAGTGTTTTTAGCCAAGAAATAGCTTGCTTTTAAGTTTGGGATTCAAATGGAGACTATAATCAAGTGATTTTTGCTTCTTTATATAAACCTTTTGAAGAACTGCTCTTTTAAAACAGTGAATTATAGCACTTATTTGAATGGTGAGTAGCATTCCTATCTCCATATCTTTCCTTCAGAGTGGCATCACAAGCGGATAAGCCTTGAGTAGTTGTTACTGTGGTGTTTATATATACCCATTTGTTGGGTCTCCGTTGATTTTTCTTCTTCTGTGTTGAGTTCTGCTTTTCCGCTGTTATTTTAGAAGGAGAGTAGGATATGGATGCATTTAGAGGGAGAAGGGAACTGTTGGTACTGGCAGCAGCTCTCGAACGGCCAAAGTCAGTGAGTTGTTAACGTGCCGAAGCGCTTGGTGGGTCAAACCCTGCTCCTTTAGGACAACGTAGGGTTGTCCCATGGCATCTCCTGTCCCAATGGGCAGGGGACGGAGCTGGGGCCACAGCAGCGCATAGGGAGACTAATAAGATTAAAAAGTTAATGCTAAAACGCCCGCTTTGAGAGCAGCGCGAGGCGACACGTTGCTCGAGCGCCCCGTGAGATCCCTTCGCCTCCCGCCTTCCCGGGGCGCCAAGTGCTGGCTCCCACAGTGAGGTGGGCTGTGGCCCTGTCTTGTGCTGACCACTGAGTCCTGTTCATGTGGTGGAGGGAGAGAGGAAGAGCCAGGCCAGGCTGTATTTAAATATAGATGGTAAAATGTCATCTCGATGGGCTGTTGGTCTAGCTGGATTCTCCAGTTACTCGTTTGGGATGCTGAAAATGCTTGTGTGTTTACTCCTGGGTGCCCGAGTCTTCTTCCGCTTAAGTCTGGAGTAGATAGTGGATAAATTCAGTATTTGGAGGGTTTTTTTTCAGTGAGGTAATTGTATAGACCTGTTTTAAAGCCAGTAATATCTTGTCAAATGATTGGGGACATCTTTAGCAGTACTGGAAAAATCCTTGTCCACTTCTATACCCGAGTAATAATTTTAGCCAATTGTTGCCTAAAATCAGACAAGTCTCTGAGTACTGTGCCAGAGCCTTTGATCTACGTGTTATCCAACTGATAATGTTGTTCAAAAGAAACCCCAAAAGCTCTTTCATCTTTTTACTTTCCAGTTTTCAGTGTTGAATTTGCCAGGGTAGCTTCGCGTTGCCAACTTGCCTTCCCAGCCAGTTACGTAGCAGCAGAGAGTGCGAGAGGGAGGTTCCTCGGGGCTGCAAGGAAGGGATCTGCCTCCCAGGGCTGAGATCTTAACCAAGCGGGTTGAAATGTTGAGGAAATCGTAGGGAAAAAGTGTCCGACTAAAATGAAATGGCCAATATGCATTTCCTAAGTGTAGAATGCAAGCGAAGAATAGATAAATGGCAAAATGGAAATGGCTTTTATATGGCTTTTATGTGTACAATCATTGCAGAAAGTTAGTTTAGAGCTCTACAATGTGAATATAACATGAAAAGAGATTTAATCAAAGTGGATCTATCAACCATCCTGTAGTAAGGCATCTGATGTTAACCGCAGCTTAGTTTTCCTTCTGAGGCTTCTCTCAGAATCCCTTGTTCACAGCACAGCAGTGATTTCTGAGGCATTTGGTAGCTGCATTTCAGCATTAGAAAAATATTTCAAAATATCAAATTCATTATATTCACTAAATATTCTGAGCAGATAGCGTGGTTGTTGCCGATAACTTCTGAGCTTCTGGTTTTGATGGATTTCAAGTGGAGGAGACCTGAAACAAGTGTGCCTGTTAGGAATTGGATAGAAATCATGTTCCAGGTGCCTTTTGTAATTGACAGGATTTGGGTTAACTTTCACTGAAGTTGCCTAACTTTGGGAATTGCCAAGATGAGGAGGAGGTGCCGAAACCCATAGGTAGTCAAGAACAGATGAACTTTTGTCATGTATCCCAGAAGTAGAGAGATCCTCTGTAGAGGATCCTGCTGCTGCTTCTAGTTGCAAACATTTGATACCTAGGATCTGCCCTTAAGGTCTGTGGAAAGTCGTGTTTTGGAGTATACTATTGAAGGCTTTTCTGTAATTAACCAAATGTATTTTTTTTTTCTTTCAATCAGGGAATCATTAGCAGAGTGACAGAGTCAGTGAAAAACATCGTACCAGGATGGTTACAGAAGTATTTCAATAAGAGCGAAGATGAATGTGTAGATACCAACGAGTCTGCAAACCAGGAAGAGAATCCGGTCAATTTTCATCATGATTATCCAGATGAAGATACCATAGTGATTGATGGGAGAGTCACGCCTGAATCAGCAAGAATTAATTTAGAAGGTATGTGGAAAAAAGCATTAGTATTCTGGCCATCTGTATTTATTCACAGGTTTCTACTTTCAAATTTAAATTTCTAAAGGAAGCTGGAGAGAGGGTTCTGACAGAATTCAAAGAAGCATATTTGTGAAACTGCCTTAGCTTTAAACTGTAAAGGTAATTGTGAAACATAGATATATTCCAGAGGATGTCTTTCAGCTCCTGGAATTCATCAGTTCACTTAATGTACTCTTATTAACCAGGTGCAAAATGTTGATAATGCCCATTTGGAAGTGCTCTAGGTTCCTTTATTCTACTAAGGCCTGGAATCAAAGTTGGTCTAATTTCACAAAGTTTAAAAAAAAAGTATGTTTTGTAGTCCTCAGAAAAAGGGCTGCAGGTAATGTTAATGTGCCAGAGGAAGGTTCATTCTTCTTACGTCCTCTCTTGGACTTCTTTAGTAAATGTAGAGAAATTCTTTTTCAGTTAAATGGAGAACCAGTGCCTGGGTACGGTTAGTACCTGCAGGCTTTGAGAATTTACTTAGTAAAGAAATTTCCTTGCTTTACAGTATGGTATAAAAGGTTAATCTGTGTGCTCTATCCAGAACCCACCACTAATAATTTCTGTAGTTCTGTGCAAATTTGCATATATTCTCATCTGAGTATCTCTCAAACTGGCAATTTTGCAGACCTTATTTTTTAACAGGGAGATGTTTTATCTGAGCACATGTAGATAACATCTATGCATGCAAAGTCACTTGCTTTTCTTAGCTGCTGAATCAAAAAGAAGGAAGAAATACCTTAGTCTTCAATGCCACCTGATTGTCAGTAAGAAACTTTGGGGGTAGGTGTAGCTTAAGAGTAAGTTTGGATGCAGGAACAGAGGAGGTCTTCATGACTGAGGAACACATGTTGGATTTTATAAGGAAATGTGTGAAAGGACCTTTCAGTAATAACAGCTGCGCAGCAAACTTACTAACTGCAGGAGCTTCGGAGCAGATGGGCACCCTGGAACCTTTAAGAGCTTATGTTGCAGGCTGGGGGTGGCACGTGCAAGCCTTACTTGCTCTTCTCACATGCAAACAAACAGAACCCCACAGATTCCCCTCCCATTCCATCCGCTCTGAAGGACCAGCGTGCTAGAGCCTCTATTGCTCTGCTGAGCAGTCAGTCTAAAACACTTTACCCAAACAGTACTGCCCCGAATGCCTGCCAGGGCTTTGGGGAGCTGGTTAGCAGTGCTGCAGTGGCTGTGAAGCTGGAACGAGGTGCTTCAAGTTTCAGTGCAAGTATCAGGAGGGTGGTGACTTCAAATCATCTTTCCCAGAAATCCTGAGAGGCTGCGGATTTATGTTAGTAGTTTTTCCCTTCCTTTAGTAAGCTAGAGCCATGAGACTTCCTACACCAGGAGATTGGCAGTGTTTATACACCTCTTTGTTTAAGAGGGGAAAAATGCTCATCTTGTTACTGAGGCAGTGATGCTTCCTTTACTTTTGTGTCAAAATCTCAAAAAATTAGTGGATAGGACATAGTATTTTGCCTGATACTGTAGAATCTTAAAAAAAATGCTGTATATATGTGTTTTCATGTTAAATACTTAGCATTTTCTTTCTTGTGAGGTCATGTAATGTGCAGAGGTGTCTTTAGCTCTTGCTGTGTTGAGAGTGAAAGGTTATATCTTGTAAAGCTTGTTGCAAGGGAAAGAGCTCTGAATGTTTGATTCAGTGAAAGAAAGTCTTAGAGCGCTTGAGTGCGGGATCAGGGTTTAGTGTGTTGTAAAACCTCATACTCAACTTCCTCTTAATGCAACGTGAGTATTTATTATTGTAAGCAGTGTTGCGGTTGCAATCAGACAGTTAAATGAAACCCTATATGGGTGAGGAAGAAGTTAAATCCGGCTTCACTATTTTTGTACCAAAAACTTGGCAATAGCCTAAGTGTTGATAGAAAACATGTTTTGGCTTCTGTGAGCTTGCCTATAAGAAAGCTGATCATCTCCCTGCTCTTGTTTAGAACCATCCACAAGTAGATCTGCATTAAACTTTTCGGATGTGTTAACAAGGCCCTCTCTTCATCGGAGCCATTTGAACTGTACCATGTTGGATTCCACAGTACCACACTGTCAGCCCTCTACATCTTCTGCACTTGGCATTGGCAGTCCTGGACTCTCTCTTGTAAAAGAAATCAAAGATTCTACCTCTCAGCATGATGATGATAACATCTCAACAACTAGTGGCTTCTCCTCTAGAGCATCTGATAAAGGTATTTTCTCAATCTTTTTTTCTTTCCCACAATGTAAAAGGCTTTACATTCTCTGATATTGCACGTCACCTTAGTAAATAAAGCAGACAAATGCCAGTTTGGGAGATTGGAATTAATCTTTCAGTATTTTAGAAGTATCATGTCACCTTTTTAATAAAACCATGCTGAAGGATACGTTTATGAGACCCTGATGTTACCCAAAGAGTCAGTGCTGAAATGCAGTGCCCTCAAGTAGGTGACATGTAGGTCTTGAACTGAACGTAACTTGCTGTCTCTCCACAAGTAGGTTGATGGACTGGACGGAGGGGTGACTCATAGCTAAGTGACAGCTGCTTGCATGGGAATAGTTCTAGACGACAAATAGAAACACAAGATGCTTTTCTGAGTTTTGCCAGGAGCGGTTGGAGACATGGGTCATCTCACTGCAGCAGGGCAAGCAGCAGTTTTGCAGATTTTTCTAGTCCCTCGTGTAGTTAAGATCTGAGGCATGGTCAGGGGGTCTGCTGGACCCACTGATCGAGTTGAGAGTGGGTATTGCCAGGCTTTGGCAATACAACCTGAGTCCACCATTGCTTCTTCTGGTGTTTTGTTTGTTCATTTGTTGTCTCCTTTAAAAAAAATATGGAAAACAGATATTTAAATCTGTTAGATCAGCCTTTGGGAACTCTCTGAGGTTTTAAACCCATGCCATTCTCACCTGTGCTGGCCACCAACTCTTTATCAACATAGGAAAACCTTATGTGGATGCATCTATGTTTCTAAAATCCCATTACTTTTTTTTGCATTAAAGGAAAAAAAAAGAACTCTGTGTTTGAAGGGGTAGTATTGATTTGCTGTGAAAGCTTTGAAACATTGCAGTTACATACTTAATTCAGAGAACAGATTTTGAACTCAGGATTGATGTTTGGATTTCATGTAATTTTTGAAATTGATCTGTATTGAAGAACTCTGAGAACAAGGTTAGAGTGTTGCAAAAGTGAGTATTGTGGGAGTTCTTTAAGACTTATTTTTCTATATTAACTCTGAAGTTAGAGTGTTTGTTTAATATTAAAAGCTCTCCGAGTACACAAGTTATTCACATATTACTTATGTCCTTTTGGCAGATATAGCAGTTTCAAAAAATACATCAGCTCCACCACTATGGTCCACGGAGGCTGAAAGATCTCATTCCCTCTCACAGCACACAGCAGCTAGTTCTAAAAAACCTGCATTCAACTTGTCTGCTTTTGGCGCTCTCTCTCCTGTAAGTATTTACGCGGTATATTATTTTTTAGCTCAGCTGAATGTGTGTCCATTTTACTAACACATCTATCTCTGCAGTCACTTGGAAACACTTCTGTGTTTAAGACAAGTCAGCTTGGGGATTCTCCATTTTACCCTGGAAAAACCACTTACGGTGGTGCAGCCGCCTCAGCCAGACAGACGAAGGTGCGAATTGCTCCTTACCAGGTATGAGAGTGATGCTGCACTGGGAGGGGAATTGTGGTTGAAGTACAAATGGGGTAACATTCACAGAAGGGCTGTGAGGAAAGAGCTGGAAAAGTGCTACCAGTTTCTATTCTAGCAGCCTACAGGAATAGAAAAGAGGATTTTTTTTTGGTATAAATTCTAGCAGTTTGTCTTTACTTCCTCCTCCTAATGAAAAAGAATGACAGTAACACCTTAGTTCTACCTAGCAGTTTCTACTTGTTCTTTCCTCTGTTCAATCTTTCCAAAAGAAAAAACCATTGAAGGTGTCTTTGTCTCTGTGTTGCTGTATATTTACAGCATATTGCATATTAATGCAATGCATTAACCATTAATTAAGACATTTGCGTTAACCAGTTCACACAGACTTTATTTAAAAAAATAAAAACAATGATGGTATGACTATGAAAACTTGTGCTTACAGTAGCAGGAGTTACAGTAGTCAGGCCTGCCTGAATCTCTTCCCCCCCCCCCCCCATAAGGATATTATATGAAACTCTACTCTTTGGTAATATCCAAAAGACAGCTTTGCTGCTCCTTTGCTCTTCTGTTATTAGAGGGAGGTATGCAGTCCAAAATGCTATCTCAAGATAAAGAATAAATTGCTTTCTATTTCAGAATGATTCATAGAACTCTTGAAAATGGTTATTTGCCGTTAAGAGTTCTTAATATCGTAAAAACAACCACCAAATAAAAATGCTGACAACTATCAGTAGTTATTGACTTAGCTTATTCAACACTAACTTTGATTTGCTGGGTATATGTATATAAATCAAAATGATCAGACTAGGACTTTATTTAGGATCAGGAAACATGGGTTTACTGGACTTCAGTAGTCTCTTTGTGCCATGAAACCAGGGAGGTAGAGGGAGCCCTACCAGTTCTTGACTTCTGGGAAATCTGGTAAACTTGTTTGTTCTGACTTAATTTGAAAGCAGGCTTTAGAAAACTGGAAACTTCCAACAAACCAGGAACTCCTTTTGGTCAGCTATTTTTATTTAAAAAGTTAATAGCTATTATACTGAAAATGGAAACTAAAACATTACTCTTTTAAAGGAGAAACTAGCTTGTTTACTGTGGATTGCAGCCAGTCTTGCTTGTTACATGTGGTATGGTTTGCTTTCAGTCTTTACATGGCAGCATGTTAAGCACCATGTAGTTACATGAGGGGGTTAATATGCAATAAGAAAATATACTGAATAAGGTTTTTGAATGGTATTCCAAGTCACCATAATTTGCAATTTCAGTGTAGTACTTAATCTTAGCTCTGCTACAGTACAAATCAGATCTTTTTAAACAGAGCTAAGTATTTGCAGACAAAGGTAAACTAGGGAGGAAATGTAAGACTAGAAAACCAGAAGTTCCTGCTGGTGATGGTATTGAGTGATTTTAAGACGGTGCACTTATGCCATCAGTAAACTCAAGAGGTCTGTTTTGTTGCTCAAAGTTCTTTCTGCAGCACAAGCCTTTGTTTGAGTTCTTTTTTTCATGCCTGCTGCTTCAGAGACCCTGGCAGTCCCAAATAATTCTACATGTGCCTTTACATTTAAACATTTCTTTTGTTTATGTTGCTTTATTCCTCACTTGGGGTGTATGGGGGGTCCCAGTTACACTCTACTGACTGTGTGAGAGTTTATTTTCTGCTTCCTGGTTGAGTTTTTGTCCCCCATCACTAGACTATTGGCTATATTGTTTGCTTAGCTATACAGGCCTGTTGGATTCAAAGTCAAACACACTAGCATTTACAATGCTGATTTTTCAGACGCCAGTAAGAAGACAAATGAAAGCTAAACAAGCAAATGTGCAGTCCTACGGTGTGACAAGTTCCACAGCACGGCGCATCTTGCAGTCTTTGGAGAAGATGTCAAGTCCTTTGGCGGTAAATGGCTCTCCTTTTAATTGCCTGTGTTTATTTAAAAACTGCAGATATGCCAGTAAAAGTGCAAAGATGTTCTTTATGTTATGTCCAGAATAATTTATTGTGCTATTTGTTGCACAGGATGCTAAAAGGATTCCATCCTCTGTCTCTACTCCACTGTCTTCTGTGAGTTGATCATTAAACCTCCGCCTTTTTGTTGCATGAAAGCTTCTCTTAGAAAAATCTTCCTCTAACATTTAGGCTAACTTTTTCCCTCTAGCCTGTGGACAGGAGTGTGCTGGGTATTACTGGCTTCCATTCAAATCGGAAACAGGTAAGAATCCATAACAACATCTTAAGCCGAGTTACGTAACTCTCTCTGCTTTACAGCTACTAGCAGAAATCTCAGAAACCTTAAAGACAGCAGAGATGTGAAGAGACTTTTACCATTCCATGAACTATAGCTGTCCTGGCAGTGCATATGTTGCTTAAAAAAGTCTTTCCGCCCGCGCTAAGTGAAGAGCTGTGAAGATTATTCAGTTTAAGGATGATGTTATTTTTGTGTTCTGATATCTTGATATGTCAGTTGAGAACAACTTTTCTGGAACACACACAGTTTTCTGTTGTACTGTAACTTGAAGTAAAGATACAGGTTGAATTCCTCTTTTAGAAAGACTTTTTCATGGAGAAAACATCAGAAATATTACTTGAGTTGCATACAGATTTTGTCAGACTTCTGTGTTCACATTGCAAAAAAATAGTGTTTCTCCTTCATATTTCTTCTTGATGCAAGAAGAGGAAAATTATTTTGTCACTCGTTCCTAATCCTGTGTTCCTAAATTCCTTTCCTAAGGTGGCATTAAATTAGCGGTAATGCTTCAGTTTCTTTAATTTTTTGCTTAAAAGGTGAAAATCATTCATGTTTTTAACCAGACTTTAATGCTGAGTGTCGTTGGGTTTATTCAATTCCAAAACCCACACAAGGCCTCTTTAACATCAGGCCGCTGCAGGGACAAAAGAATGATTTTCCTTCCATGCAAATTTCCCATCTGCTGTTTTAATGAGAAAGTGGACAGAATGTCTTAAGTTTCTACTCTGATCTTTTGATTAAGAGTAGAACTGTGTTTACAAACACTGCAGAACTTAAAATCCTCTCAGACTGCATGTACTTTGTTTTTATTTTTTTTTCCCCTTCAAACCATGTGTTAAATTACAGGGACATTGAAAAGTAAAGAATATAATTTCATGACTATAAATGCTATCCAGAATAATTGAAAAGAGCTGATAGGGATTCTCAGTCGAATTGTGGAGCCTCAGCTGTGATGGGGCATTAAGAAAGATCTACTAGATTTGCAACAGACAGTCTGGAGTCGTCAGCCAGCAGACGAATGCTGCACACAGCTGTCACTGCCCAAAAGAAGAGAAATTGTCTGTTCCAGTGTTTGAATTCATAATGTTTGGCATGGGAAGGGAAGCCCTTGACGAGAAGTAATTGTTTGCCAAGGAAGGAGTAGTGTGTTTTGCTGCTAAAGCAAATGTGTGGCTGGCAGGGCACAACAGTTGTGCACTGAAGCAAAGCTTGCACAGCGCGTAGCAGCGAAGTGGCACGTTTTTATTATTGCAATAATCTGGTCTGCACAAGGCAGGACAGCTCTCACTTCACTGGATTACTTTTTTAATTTTAGTAATTTATGGTTAAAACCACCAATGAACCATCCTTCTTGCGAGACAGAGTTGTGAGCTTAAATAAAACGTGTTTTATTCAAAGCTTCAAAATCAATGTTATCATTTTAAGAGAGATGTTCTTTTAATTGTTTTAGGGGTGATACAGTGTGAAATTTTTTCCAAGGATTAGATAATACTGTAAAATGAACGCTGTATTGTAAGCACAAGTTTTTTGTTGTTGATAGTAATTTAAAGAACATGTATTCTTAAGACAGCTGCAGATGAAGCCTTCTGTAAAAGTTATGGTCTTTTGGTTTAACTTTTCTGTTAGGCAATTAAGTCAGTTTTGCATCAGAGAAGGTCAGTTCTAGAGGATCTGGTACTTTCTGTTAAGAATTGGCCTATGAAAATGCACAAAAAATGAAACTCAGAGTAATATTTTAGGCCTCTTTGATGCGAGCCTAAAAGTTTGGTTCAAATCTGAATGAGTAGTGTTTCCTTCTAAAATTATTTGACAGCATTTTTTTTTTTGGAATGTGCTCTAGAGAATATATAACTTCAAAGAGGGGAAATGTAGGAAAAAACCCCGAAGTCTAGAAGTATGACTAATAAGCTGCTTCACCTTTTGAATGTTAAATTTAAGCTTTAAACTGTTAATAAACTTAAAACATGGGAAAGATGGGAGCATATCTTAGTAATATTTATGGTTTTGATTATACTAACAGGAGTTATTGTGTCTATAAAATCAATTGCAAAAAAAAAAAAACAAATTAGGATACAGTCAGACCTTGGCTTCTTTTTTGGCTTCTTAGATTTGTTACCTGGGTGAATGCTCCCCACTTCCTCAAAACATTTTCACTTAAGAGCCAGAACTGATGAGAGATTTATAGAATTGTATATTTTTTTCTTAAATGAATATTGTAGTTAACTTGAGCAGGTGCTAATATAAGTTGATTGCTGCTTCCTTTCAAAGATGGAAACCCAGCATCCACCTGTCCAGAAGCTTGTGACGCCAAAGGCAATCTCTCTGTCAATGAGTCGGACCCAGTATTTCAAACCATCTTTGTCTCCAGCTACTGATTCCAGTAAAGTTCGCCAGAGAGTAGACATAAAGCACAAAGTAAGTACTTTTTCTTATCTTTGTCTGCCTGTTTTTACAAGCTTGAAGTATTTCTAACGGATTTTTCTGCATCTGGTAGAACGTTTAAGGTGAAAGGCAGCAGGAGCCATTCTGAAAGGAATATTTGAATTTTTATGGATTTAGCTGTATTTATGGAACAGCGAAAGTCTGGTAGCTATTTTCAGAATTTAGTGATGTGCTTTTGGTTAGGGTTGTACTAGTGGGGAAAGAAAAATCAGAGGCCGCACTATCCCTCCTGTACGCTCCTCTACAGACAGTTCTGCCTGATGGAAAGTGCTGAGGTGTATAAAATTTCTTTCTTTCAGGTGAGGTATGTGTCTCTCTCCAAGTGGGATTTCTAAGCAAAAGCTAATTATCAACTTCAATAACTTTGGTGTAGATGGAGTCCCTGTCAAACCTTCTTTAAAAGAGGATTAGCACCCTGTGGTCCCACTATCGGTGTAGCTGTAAAAATGATCAACTTTAATCTGTGTGCTTTGTTCAGCAGGAGATCAGAGTAGACAGTCATAGTGGTTGCTTCCTGCATTAAAATGTCTCTGTGCTGTTGAGCCTGTGCAATCTTTCCTTGATAGAGAGTTCTAAACTGCTTGGGATTTTTTGGAAAGAAAGGGGAAGGGAAGCTTGTGGGAAAAGTAGGATTATTAAAAGAGTGTACTCTTTTTATGTGTTGGTAAATTAACACAAATTTTGAATAGAAAACTTGATTTGATTTCTCCATCCCATATCATTTAGATCCCATTTTGTTTAAAGTAAGTGTGTCTTGTCATACAGCTTCTGACATTTGTTGCAGTATAAAGGATTTTATCAGTTCACCCTCAGTGACTGCAGTAGCGTTGCCCCTTTTAGCTGCAAATTTAGTCAAAGTTTACCTAGAATAGTAGATCTGGGGACAAGCTTAAGTAGATGAGGTATATTTAATAGTGTATTTAAAGAAGCAAAGAGTTGTCATTTGTCTTTGCTTTGGGTATAGAATATTAATGCATTCAGAGAAATGTTGTAATAAACCAAACTTAAATTGCAGGGAATGAGAGAGAAGAGTTCACCTGCGGAACAGCGACTAGAACCACCTGAAAGGTATGAGAGATCAGTCGTTACCTTCCTTCCTTCAGTGAAGGCTTTCAAACCATCTCCTCTGTTACTGCATTCTGCCTGCTTGTCTTCTTTGCAAAGGCATAACAGGATAAAAATAAGTTCAGTATTTTTTTTATTGTTAAGAGAGCTATGAAGTATACATATTTATGTGTACTTATGTAAGAAGTATACTCATGTATACTTATCTCATGGGTACTTTATTATGTATACATACTCATGTATACATTTAAAGATCAATTTATGTGTGAGAAAGGAATTTGATGAAAAGGAGGCAAACAAGAACAAAATTACTATATCGATTACTTTGGTTTTTTGCTCAAATATATCTTCTGACTAGGACATGAAGATGGGAAGCCAGGCTTGCATGGTGCCATACCAACAAAAAGAATACTTGCCTTTCAAGGCCAAAATACTTTCTGTAGGAAGTATGGATAGTCTTCTAGTTATGTCAGCTAAATTTGTGATGTTTTCAGCCAGTGTGATTTGGCAGGTCAGTTTGCAGTTTGTCAATGGCATTGCTGTTATCCGAATGAAGCCGTTTGGCCATCCTGGTGCTCGTTAGGGGGAATCCACTGCTAGTTTTAGTCTTTTTATTTTCATTGCTGGAATATGCAAGCTCTGTCCTACAGGACAGAGTCCTTTCAGAAGGAGTCTTCATAAGGTGAAGTAACAGCTTGTAGAAGTACATCGCATGTATATGAGTAGGTTTAGTTTTCATTTAAAAAAAAAAAAAAAGAGATTTTTAGAGGTATATGGTGGTGCCTTTTTGTTTCTCTCTTTTGACATGGACAAGTGACATGGATAAGTCACTTCCCTGGTTTGTGAGGTAGTGTGAAAAACAGAAACGGGTCAGAATCAGCTAAAGCCAAATGCTGCCTCGTCTCTAAAACAAATTAAAAAAATGCAAGAGAGTGAAAAACTGTGTTTCTTGTATGCTTACGTTGGACAGACTGGCTTGTGTTACAGCACCGCCTTGGTTAAGGTTGAGTGACTTCATTTGCAAGTCGTATTGATGGTTTTCTCTTCTGGGCAACTACTGTTCTGAATAATGAGTGAATTATTTCACTTTGTATTAGAAGTATTTGATTTTTAATGCTCTGTTCTCTTCAAAGAACAGTAGTAGGAAATTGTATTTTTTCATCCCTCTAAGGAATTCTTAGGACTTTGGGATTCTTTGGCTTGCAGAGAGCTGCCTGTGTTTTGGCATCCAGCAGTTTGACTTGACCATAACCTTCTTGTGGAGGGTAAGGGGCCCCGGTTAAGGGCCCCAGGTTACAAGCAGAGGTTAGATTTGGATTGTGGTTTCCCAAGCTGGAGTTTCCAAGCAGGAGTTGCTTCATTAGCTACCCTGAGGTCATTTGGTAAATGTTTCTTTGGCCCACCAAATGGATTTTATTTTTTTAAATCTGGAGCAGGATTGGAGGTTGGGTTTATCTGCTTCTAGACAGGAAACTTTATGCTTAGAAGCTGACAGGTGCTTACAGGAACGAGGAGCACAGCCTGTTATGGGTAGGCTGTACTCGTCTGAAGAAAGCTCTGTTTTGACAGACGATTTTTTCAGCCTTCTAATTGATTGTCAGTTTGGATCAGGAAATAAATCTGAGCATATGGCCTGAATGATGTGGTTGCCTCAGTGGGTCCTGTGCTGAGAGCTCAGCAGGCTGTTTTCAAGGATCTGACCAGTGTAGGTCCATTCTCTTCAGTCTGCTGGAAAGCTGACCTGGTGTCTTCAGGCTTGATCCAATAGACTGTTGTAATGGCTGGCTGCTTAGCTATAAGGTGAGCTTTAAGCTGATTTTTTTTCCCCCATGTGGATGCTTCATTTTAATGCAGTGATTTGTACTGTTGTTGCTACTCCATAGCTAGGAGCTAGCTAAGACCCAGCTAGCTCTGGGTTTCTTTTTTTTCTTTTCTTTTCTTTTTTTTTTTTTTTTTAATTTTCTTTCCCACTTGGATTGGGAAATCTTTCTGGTTTTGATCTAGGCTTTTGCAAGGAAAACAGCAATTCCTTTGTGTGCCTTACGAAATGGATCTGTGCTCATGTCTGAAATGACTTCTGGAAAGTTGGGTGCACCCAGGCACCCCAGTAGCCCCTGCTGGTGGCCCCGGGAAGGCCTGAGCTGCTCTCCAGGCCTTCCCCCTGTGTCTTGTTGACGAGTTGGAACTTCTGTGTTCCTCAGGGCTGCAGGCAGGCAGCCCATGTGTAGGTGTGTGTGTAGGTGTATATACATACACACAAACATCCTCTGTGTGTGTGTGTGTAAGTGCACATACATACACACAAACTCCCACACACCCATGCACCTCGGCACACATTCATCATGCAGCCAGGGAGATGGTCCTCAAAATTCCCACTTTGGGACTATTAAAAGGAAATGTTAGAAAATAACAGTCTAAATTACTTGTTCTATTTCTAGCCTTCTGGCTCAGGCGTCACTCCCGTATGGATGTAGTGACTGTTTCCCTATAGGTCCTCCTCGTTGATGCTTGGATTGAAAATAGTGCTTGCTACTTGCTATTTAAGAACATCAGGTATTTACAGCATTTCACAACTTGGGAAACAACTTTAGTTTGTTTGTTTTCTTATGATTCTGATTAAGTTTCAGTTCCAGGACAAATAATGGCTGTGATAATGTTTTAAAAAAATTTTTTTTCATTATCTTTTTTTTCTTCTTCTTCTTTTCAATCTATGTGCTACTTCCCTGTGCCAGCAATTTGATATACCCCAAATTCAGTACTCCTGCATCCAATGGCCTGTCTTTGGGAGGAGGAGCAAGTGGTGGTGGCAAGATGAGAAGGGAGAGAGGAGTGCATTATGTATCAAAACCTGGGCAAGAACAACAGGTAAGTGACTCTCAGGTCATTTCTTTCACTGAGATTACTGAAGGAACTAATGAAGTAAATATAGTTTAGAAGTTCAAAGTGAAAAAAGGAGAAAAAAAAAAAAGAGCAGTGGGCAAGAGTGACAACTTTGATCTAGTTTTGACTGCTTCTGCCAGACAGGTCATGGACATAGTGCAATGTGGAGGGGAGTTTTCATATAAATTGAAAAGATTGGGTAGACTAAGGTGTGGGAGATCAGTATTCCTTTTGAATGCTCACTTTATTTTAGTGTCTTCCATTCTTATGGTTAGCTTTGCTTACAAATTGGGGTGGCAGAGGATCAGGAAATGATGTCTTGTAAAAGAGAAAAATAAAAACTAAAATTTACAACTGCAGGAAGTGGAGGAACCAGTACTACCGAAAATATCCTTGCCCATCAGTACTACATCGTTGCCTCAGTTCGGTTTTAGTTCTCTTGCCAGCAATGCTGTGTCGTCGTCACCAAGCACTGTTTCAACACCAGTGATGAACAAGGTAAACCTTTCTCTAGTGCATTGTTAGTATTTCTTAGGATTAGGAGGCATGTGCTGCTTCACATGCTGAGTTGTTCAAGGGCACTCATGAATCTAATCACTGTCAGTTAATATCCAGTTGAAGTAAAGCAGGTTTGATGTGTATTTCATTTGGGGGCAGGAAATGTATTGATCAGGAAAAAAATTACCAAGCGGATTTTGAAAAAGCTTCTCTCCATCTTATAATTTGCAGAATTTTGGTTAACATAATAGCATAAATGTTTCAAATGCTATGCAAATTTTGTTAGGATTTTTATGCCAAGTTATGTAATAAATTTGAAGTAGTTAATGATCATATGAACCTAGAATGATGGTCATTAATTGGGATATTATTGAAATGAAATATACATTTGAAATATTTGTGTATATTTTGAAGTAGGTATCTGCTTTAATATGTTGAAGTATTTGCTGCCACCCTTTGACTTAAGTTCGCTCAACTCAACTGACCTGAGATTAAGGTTCTTAAGCTGCCTGCTCTTCTATATATTCAATAAATTTAGAACAGAGTAGCATCTCAATCCTCCGTCTTTGTTTTGTGGCTTATACCATTTGGTTTTGAGAGTTGCCTATTATATACTCATTTGCAAACTTAATTTTGTATTATTATGTTTCTTATATGTAGATTTGAAATAAACCTCAAACAGGAAATTTCACAACTTTGTAGCAGAACCTTTATAGGATGGTAAATTCAGGTAGTGATGTTGTTTCATGAGCATGTTTTTCCTTTAGACACAAATCTTAATTCTTTTGAAAATACAGGTACAACTAGCAAGTAATACTGGCAGTCCTGTGTTCAGATTTTCATCTCCAATTGTAAAGTCTACTGAGGCAGAAGTGCTACCTCCATTGTCTGTAAGTAAATGTTGTGGAAGCTTAGATATTTTTTTAGAAATTAAAATATTAGAATATTGCAGAGCAGTAAAACAAGGTTGGCTCTTTAAGGGGAAAACAAATAAATGAATTATTGTTATATGATTTGTTATTCAGCATGTAAATGAATACATGCTGAATAGCACTCATTTACATGCAGCATTTACATGTAGCATGTAAAACTGAAAGTTTAAATAGCAGGTTTCAGTTTGAGGTTTGTGTGATTAAAAAGTTACTTTGTGTCAGAAAATGAAAGCTTACTCTTTTTTGTTTTGTTTTGTAGCAGATTGGGTTTACATTTAGTGTTCCTGTTGTAAAATCAGCAGAGCTTTCTGGATCCAGCGATACTCCAGTGACATCCCTGCTTACCTTAGGTAACTGAAATTTTAGCATTTCAATTTGGATATGTTGATTTTTTGAATTGTAGATACTAAATATGTTTTTTGGTGAGCACGTTAGCAGTTTCAGGAAACAAATGTATACGATGTCATGAGTTTCAGAAATGATAAAGAAGGTGGCACTTTATTATTACTATTATTGTTTTTCCTCCTGTAGAGAAGTAGCACATTTTGGTTCAGTTATCAAAACTGAAACCTTTGAAGGCTGGCACATCTCAAAATGAAATTAAACTTTCTTGGTAGAAGATCCAAGATTTTCAGGTTTTTATTTAGAGTGCTGATTTTATTTTAACTTAATTGGGGGGGAAATAAGTACTTGGAAAATTGGAGTTATTCCTTAGGCTCTCTAACCTGTTTTTTTTCCCTCTCTTTTTTTTTTAAACAATATTGGTATTAATTTTTAGTTGTGAGTTGACCTGAAATGGGAGATTTGTATATGCCCTAGAAAATAAAATATACTTTTTATTTGCTGCAAGTACAAAGTTCTGGATATCTGTGGTATTTTTCAGTGACAAGTCTGCTTTTTTTGTTGTAAATAATGTGGTCAAGATCCTAAACTTAAGTATATGAATTGAAAATTCTTCTTTGTAGAAAATAGAAATGTATTAAGTGGATTACTCTGTGAAAGACAGTTTTCCTTTCTGTTTAAAGATACCACCACTGTAAACAGCACCAGCAATAAGAAGGAAGAAAACAAAGAGGAATACGATGGCCCCTTCAAACCTGCGAAAGTCTTAAAGGAAGGGAGTGTGTTAGATATCCTAAAAAGCCCTGGTGAGATGATGAACTTACTTTGGAAAAGACACTGCATAAAACATGTTAGCCGGTGTTGGTAAAGAACTTTAATGTCATGGTTAATGTGATATTAGCTCTAACGACGCAGGTAGGAGTATATTGCGTAAGCACTGCATCTGTTAAGGTGGGTCTGCCCCTGCTGCCTTAAGTAGCTTATAATGCTGAAAGGAAAACTGCAACTTCAAGAACAAATGGATTGCAGCTCCTGTTCCATTCATAAATAGAAATGTAAAGATTTTTTTTGTGTAACTCGACATGCCTCTCCCACCTTCTCCAGCGCGATGAGGAAGGCGGGAGGGAATAGTTTTGTTCCTAAAGAGATTTCAAAAGCTGCAAATATTTTGACTTTGTTTAAAAAGCTGTTATGGGGTATATTTTAAATTTGAAACATTCTGTTGCATCAGGATATTTTTCTGATGAAGTGACAAATGCTTCTTAAGACGATGACACTTTTTATATCGAAAAGAGCTAAAGGAGAGAAGATACATACCATATGCATGTGGTTTAAGGAAGGCCTGTGAGGTGGCAAATTGTCTATGCGTTTCACAGAATCAACATCTAAATGCACATTGCTTGGAGACTCCACATTTTTTAAAAATTCAGCTTAAAAGTAAATAGAGCTACTGTTCAAGATGCATTGCCTTAAGGCTCTTTTGAATGTCTCAGTATTAGTACTTCATATTTTGTGTTAAAGTTAGCACCTTGATATAGGATGCGGCCTCTGTGAGGTGCATTTTGAACTAATATTTATAGACCAGAAGACTGTTAGTCGCTTTGTCCTGCCCGATTTTTGTTATTTGATGTTCAGCCTGAGTGGGGAAATGCCCTGTGTATTAGCTGCTCCAAGGCCAAACTTCCCTGTGGTTGCTGAAGTAAATGTGAGCCAGCTGCAACAGAAGGAATAGCTTCAGAAGTTTGATTTGAGTGGGCATAGCACCTTAAAATGAAACTGGGCTATTCCATTCCTGGCTGTGATGGCTTTTGGTGCTGTTCAGCAGAGTGTCAAGCAGTGAAGCTTTTTTGCTTAAAACTTCCTGGGAAGTGAGAGGTAAATGAAGCTCTGACTGTTCTGTTGTACCCCGGTGTTGCATGTGAAAATTCACCCCCAACATTAGATGTCTGGGGTGCTTCTTGTGGCGCTTGCCCAGACCACGCAGTAATTCTCTTGCTGGCTGCTCCTTCACAGGCTTCGGTGCTCGGCAGCCCGACGGCTCCGCGGCGGCGCCGCCTGCTCCCGCCAGCCCGGTGGTCTACACGAGGCCCGCGATCAGCAGCTTTTCCGCGAGCGAGCAGAGCTCCCCACAGGCCCCGCCACGCTGGCCATCGGAGCCGTGCGACCCGTGCCTGCAAAACAAGGCCCCGGAGGACAAGTGTGGGACGTGCCAGGCGGCCAAGGCGCCGGCGGCGGAGAGCCCCAGGCAGGCGGCAGGCTCGAGCCCTGGCGGCGCCTCCAAGCCCGCGGCCTCCCCGCCGGCGGCCCTGGGCTTTGGGGACAAATTCAAGACGGCGCCCGGCACGTGGGACTGCGACACGTGCCTGGTGCAGAACAAGCCCGAAGCCACCAAGTGCGTCGCGTGCGAGACGCCCAAGCCCGGCACCGGCGTGACGCCCGCTCTGACGCTGCCGGCGCCCGCCGACGCCGCGGCCGCGGTGACGTCCTCCTCCGGCGGCACCGATCCCGCCGTCACCCTGGGCTTCGGAGACAAGTTTAAGAAGCCCAAGGGCTCCTGGGACTGCACCGTGTGCCTTGTGACCAATAAGGCAGAGGACAGCAAATGCGTGGCCTGCCAGTCGGAGAAACCAGGTGCGTGAGGGGAAGCTACCTTCCCTCCAGTGGGTTTTGCCTGTCTGATCCTCATCCAGAGCTCTGAGGGGGAAATCTGGCCCCTGGAGTCCCACCTGAGCATTCACAGGGGGACTGCTAAAGCTATCTGAAGTGCTGCACTGAGTGGCATCTCCTTCCCTCCAGGGGAAAAGAGCCCCAAGGAAAGTGCTGCCGCTCTTGGGGCATCGCTCGTGCAGCTGGGCACAGAGCTTGGGATTTGGGAGCCTCGAGTCCCTTGCCTGGGTTTAGCTGCGGTGCAGTTTGGAACGAGCCTCTTTAGAGGTGGCTAGTGAATCAGTCTGCTAAACTGCTCACAGCCTCTCGTCCCTGTGCAGTGACTGTGAGTTGAGGGTGTCTGCAGCAGCGTGTGCTGTAGCTCAGTCGTGTTTGGCACCTTTCCTTTGCACCTGAAATGAGCTGCGTTGCTGACTCACGTGCAACACTTGCTGTTAAAGAGTGTCATCGGTTCCATTTGTGCTTAAAATTATAGACTAGATCAAAAAGAAGAGATTGAGGATTTCTATTACATTCCCTAAGTTCATGGATTGAGTTTGACTGAAATTACTTGACTTCTTACTATAGAACTTAGTCTTCTTCCTAACCTAGCAAGCATATAAGCCTTCCTCAAGAGGTTTGTGTTCACTTTGAGCAGACTGTTCTAACTATTTGTCCTTATTGCTTAGGGAGCTCAGTGCCTGTGACCAGTAGCAGTGTTTCTGCCTTTCCTGCTGCCTCTGGCACATTGCTGGATTTAGAGAAATTCAAGAAGCCGGAAGGAAGCTGGGAGTGTGAGGACTGCTTCGTGCAAAACAAAGCGGAGGACACCAAATGCGTAGCCTGTGGAAAAGCAAAGCCAGGCACCAAAGCCGAGCTCAAAGGTAGTAACTTACGGGGAGAAATGAGTATTTTGTGATTCTTTGTTTGTTTAGTAGTGCTATGCCTGCAGTTCCCTGCGCAGAGCCAACCTGTGCTTTCTAGAGAAAAGCTTTGGTGAAGGACTGATGCTTTGTATTCCTTATGTTCTGTGAATCTGAAGTTTAGATTTTACAAACAAAAGTAAAAAAAAAAAAAACTCATGATCTTTCAAAAAGTTAAAGTATTTTTCAAATCAGGGAGTAGGCAAAAGAATGTCTTTGTGAAACAAAGCTGAGTGTAGAGCAGAGTTGTTTGTGAGGGGGCCGTGTTTTATTTGGGAGTTGAGGATTTTGGTAAAATAGTTTTGACTCAGGGAAGCTTTGGATCAGAACCACCCTTGTGTCACAGAATTAACATTACTGCTTCTTTTGCAGGGTCTGGTTCTGCCCCTGTGACCTCAAATGCTGCAACGCCATCGTTTACGTTCGGTGTTCAGTCCTCGGCCTCCGACTCCGCTCATACATTAGGTAGCCCAAGAGATTTTACATTTAGAGAACAAGGGAGCTTCAAGTTCGGTATTCCTTTTGAAGCTGCATCCTCCAACACTGGGACTGGGGGATTTAAGTTTGCTAGCAGTTCAGGGGAATTCAAGTTTGGAGTTTCTTCCTCAGACTCCAAATCAGAAGATAGTAAGAAAGAAGAGAAAACCAACACTTTCACCTTTGGACTTCCATCTACAAGCAGCCAGGCTCCTTCAACATTTCAGTTTGGGACGAGTAACCTGGGGCAGCAGGAAAAGAAAGAGGAACCAGTCTTGGGAGGCTTCAATTTTGGCACAAGTTCTGCTTCTTCCACAGCTCCCACAGAGAATAAGACCGGAGTCAGTGGCTTCACCTTTGGAACTGTGGCAGAAAAGGAGCCTGTTTCGGCTTCTTTTGCTTTTAAGAAGTCTGATGAGAAGAAGGATGAAGCTTCTTCCACCAAGACAGGCTTCTCTTTTGGCAATGTGGAGCCCACCCCCGCCTCGCAGTTTGTTTTGGGGAGGACAGAGGAGAAACAAGACTCTGTCGCTTCCGCTGCTCCGCTCGTCTTTGGGAAGAAGGCTGACAGCGACGAGCCGAAGGCGCAGCCTGTCTTTTCGTTTGGCAAACCTGAGCACACCAAAGAAGAGAGCACCACAAAAGCTACATTCAATTTTAGTTTCATGAAACCATCAGGGAAGGAAGCGGAGCAGGCCAAGCCAACCTTCACGTTTGGGGCACAGACCAGTACTTCAGGTAACAGGGTGTCTTTTGCCTCCGCTTTGCATATATGCATCAAACAGTACCTCAGAAGCCATGTGAGGCCAAAGGGAAGCATTACTTTTGATGTGTTAATGCCTAGAGCTTTGGAAAAGGTCTTACTCCCTGCCGTGTGTTTGTCCTTACGGTTTTTGATGTGGTGATAATTTCTAGCAGTTCCTTTCTAGATTTCAGTGAGCTTTAACAGGAGAGTTAAACAAAAAGAAAAAAAGCCCCAGGCCTCAAAGAACCTGTGTTACACCTTGTGTGAGCACAGATGTTACTGTCATCTCAACAGTGACAATATAGTTGGGGATAAAATCTTCAGCGTGCTGCAGTGTAGAGGCCTCACTCCATCTTTTTTCATAGGGAAATGGGATGAGAAAACCCAATATTCCTGTGTAACTGCATCTCTGCTGCAGGATGTACTGCTGAACTCCACTGTTACAGCGGTGTAGATAGTGCTTAATAGATGTAATCGTGCCGGACTGAATTTCATTGGTATGGAGAAAGACTACAGTGGAAAATGAAATTTCTTTAGTGCGGAACTGTGGTTGCTCAGTTCCATCGTGTCACCAGCGACACCAGCCTTTTAGAAAGCTGATGCTCTATAGATTTCTCTATAACTTCTGCAAGTGTAGGGGAGCAGGCAGAGGTAAGTGACCCTGAATAAAAGCAGTGCACAGGGTTATACTGATTCTAACCACAGTAATTGTGTGGTTGAACTGCTGCTGGACAAACAAATCTAGGGATTTGGGAGAGGGAGGATTGATGGATTTCCCCCCCCCCCCCCCCGAGTTACAGAGTTTGGTCTAGTCTTAGAAATGTGATGTAAATGCTTGTGCAAAAGGAAGATCTAACAAATGATTTTCAAAACGCTATAGTCCCTGAAAATGGGGTAGGGGAAAAGGTGCCTAAACTGCTAGGAAAAAAGATCCCAGGCAAATTAACAGTGAGAATGGGACAGAGGAGCAGCTTAGGAAAAGCTGAGGAAGGCCTTGCTTAAAAAGCAGCGCTCTTGACTGGTGTGAGCAGAGCAGTGCTCTGGAGAGAGATGTTTGCGGTTGCTCTTGAAGGCAGGTCTGGAAGGTGCTGCAGTAACTTGAGCCAGAAGAAGGGGGCTGAGGGCAGGAAGCTTTGCCAGGGTTAGAGCTGTAGGAGCAGGGCTGTGTTTTCAGAGCAGGCTGCAGTAAAGCTGCGTTTTTCAGTGCAGTGGCAGGTGGTGGATGTGACCAGGTGATTCTTCCAGGTGAAAACTGCCCAAACACATTTTTTCCCCAAATTTTCAGTGCTGGTTTGGGTGATTCTAGCCTATACTCATAACCAGTAGCACCCAGACCTTGGTAGTGTCTGCTTTTCGCGGTGGTTCCATTCCTTGCGTCGTGGATGGGGCTGGGATCTGGTGACACGTGGATGTTGTGTGTGCGCCGGGGCGGCCGCGCTGCCCTTCGGGGCTGCTCGGGCAGGGCTCTGCTCCCGCCTGCCCTTTCCGTGGCGGTTCATGCCCTGTCCTTCCCTGCAGACCAAGGAGCAGCAAAATCGGCCTTCAGCTTCCTGAGCCCCAGCTCCTCGAGCCCGGCTCTGCCCACGTCCTCGGCCGGCAGCGGCAGCAGCAGCGTGTTTGGCGGCTCGGCGGCTTCCTCGACGGCGCAGCCCGGGCCCGTTCCCGCTCCCTTTGTGTTCGGGCAGGGCGGCAGCACCGTGAGCAGCTCCGCTTTCGGCAGCTCGGCAGAACCCGCCGCTTCGCAGGCGTTCGGCTTCGCCTCGGAAAGCAAAGCAGCCACCACGTCCTCGAGCACCGTCGCGGCCGTGGCTCCCTTCGTCTTCGGATCGGGAGGCAGCGGGAGCACCGCGGCGAGTTCTGGCTTCACCTTTGGCGCCACGACGACAACAAGCTCTGCGGGTGCGTTTGAAATGGCTGCTCTTTGCCGTAACAGCAGCGGGGGCCGAGGCCGTACTGCTGTATGAGTAATTTACTTTGGAGGAGAACAGACTATGAGTAATTTACTTTGGAGGAGAACAGACTTCATGGTAGTCTGTTCTTTAGGCGAATGTTAACACAGTAGTTTGGGTCTAGACAGCCGTAGTGTTTGAGGTGAATGGGGTCTTACTCTTGTTACTCATGTAAGACCCTGTGCTGGTTTTTGGGTTACTGGGGGGGAAAGGTGCAATTCATGTTATGGTTGAGGTAGCGTTTGTTTTACTTGCTGGGCTAAGCTGTGACAGAATTTGTGTTTATAGGATCAGTATTCAGGTATATTCAGGCACCAGAGTTGGAAAGCGGGGTTCAGAGCCCTTGTTTCAGGAACAGTCAGATTTATCCTTGGGGGGAGAAATGAAACCTGCGTGCCTGCTGAAACGTCTGCCCTTCCTCCGCAGGCTCGTCGCCCTCGTTCGTGTTCGGCTCGGGCTCCTCGGCGCCGGCCACCGGCCCCGCGTTCGGCGCCGCGCAGCTGCCCGCCTTCGGCCAGAGCCCGGCCGCCGGGCAGCCGGCCGCGCCGCCCTTCGCCTCGCTCTTCCCGGCCGCGCCGCCCGCCTTCGGCTCCGTGGCGAGCGGCGGCCAGGCGGCCCCCGCCTTCGGGCAGCCCGCCGCGCAGCAGCCCGGCTTCGGCGCCGCCGCCGCCTCCGGCGCCGGTGAGTGCCCGCGCGCCCGCCAGGGCTTCCCCCTGTGCCCCTCGGAGGCTCTGTGCAACGGCCGGGTAAAAGCAGCCCGAGTTTGTGCTGGTCCGGGGTGGTTGGTACGCCGTGTCCCGTGGCCCTGCTTTCCTTCCTTGGGTGGCACCTTGGGGATTAGAAACTCTGGGGATTGGCCCTGTTGCTTTACAGTTACTTTGGGGGTGAATTTAGAAGCTCATTCTGATGAGGTGTAGTGTGAGCACAGTAAGTAACCTGGAGGCCCCGCATCAGCCGCACTGACACAAGGATGTTTGTTTAAATAGCAAATCTGCACGAGTCAATACTGTAATTTAAGGCTTTGCTAAACAGTAAACTTGAGTGCACACAGGCAAAAACCCCATGGTTGTACAGAACTAAGCGAGCAGTTCATTAGCAGTCTGCCAGGACTGTTATAGGATTCTCTGTAAAATAAATTATTTTTTTCTATGCGCTGATCCTCTAGTAATCTGGCCTTTCTGCTACAGTCAGCCTAGGCAATTTGTCTGAACAGTCTGTGAAAACATTCGTTAAAGGCAGTGGGAAACGCGGGCATTTTGCTGAGCTTGAAGCACTGACCTTTTTCACTTTTTTCCCGTTCCCTCCCACGTCGCCTCCCCAGGTCCCGTGTTCCAGTTCCGAAGCAACGCTGCGAGTTTCAGCTTCCCCAGCACCCCCCGAGTGTTCACGTTTGGCGCCAACCCTGGCGCGCCCGCAGCTCCGGCGCAGCCTGCTGCCTCCTCGAGCTTTTCCTTCAACCAGGCGGCCGTGTTTACAGTGGGGTAAGCCTGGCCTGGGCCGGGGCGCGGGGAGGAGACGGGCGGAGACCAGCTTAGGATTTCTCTCGAGCTCGGGGCAGGCCGGCTAGGCAGTGTGAGCCTCTCCTGCCGCTCCGTGCGGAGCCACTCGCCTCGGAATACCTGGGAATTTCAGGCTGGGCTCGGCATCCTTCCTTGGAGGTTCCATGCTCGCTGACAAGGCAGTGGTGCTTTTAAAGGAGCCTAGTGCTCGGGAAGGCTGCGTGGCCGCATGTGTGAGGCTCATTCCTGAAAGCGGGCAGTTATCTCCTAGGTCGCTGCACGCGCCCCGTGGGAGAGGCGGCTGCGCGGAGTTTCTGCAGCTCCCTTCCCGTTTAGCATTTGCCCTTTGTTGCCACCTTGGTATCTAGTGAGACAGCCCTGAGAGCCTTCCTGGGTTATTTACTCAGCGTTACTGCTGACTTTTCCGCTGCGCCGTCCTAACCTGTGAACTACCGATTTCTTTTGATAGGACTAATGGGAAAAATATTTTCTCTGCCTCTGGATCTTCGGTTCCTGGCCGGAAGATAAAGACTGCAGTTAGACGTAGAAAATAATCGTCCTGATGGGTAAAGCGACTTGGGAAAGAGCTGCTACCCTGCATCCCCACCACGGTCCCGCTGCCGGGATTGTACCTCATGCTGGGTTAGCTGAAGCCAGATCCGCCGAACGGAATATAAACCTCTGCTGCCCTTCCCTTGCCCCCCTCCATTTAGTTCTTTTGGTAACGAGTAGAGTTGGCAAGAAAGGCCATTCTCGAGCAAAACTATTTTAGAATCCAGCCACTTACTTCTTTCTCTGACTTGGCATGGTCTGGCTGTAGCCCCGAGTCTGGCCCGCACAGCGAATGGCTTGTTCGATACCTCTTCATCTGCACCCCGGTGCGCGCGCACCCCGTGTCCTGGCGCCTCGAAGCTGTAACTGTCCCAGAGAGGGGGCTCCAGAGCGTAGGGAATGTGGGTCACGAGTGATTTCTATGCCGAGTTTGTGCCGCCGTATGTGTGAAGTGAGTGAGTTTGGGTGTATTGTGCACTAAAATTTTCTGATAGAGGACGACTGATTCAAGGATGATCCATGCTTAAGGACTTGTTAGATCTGTAGTTCTCCATTTAATAATTATATGCTATTTCTATATTTTCATTCTTACAGCCCTTTATCACCTGTCTCGCCTTTGTTATTTTATTATGGAACATGTGTAAATACAATTTTGTTTCTCTATGTACTTTTTTGGCATAACAAATCTGTGAAATTGAAATTTTAATTTTGTGTGTTACGGCCATTTTTGTTTAGTATTGTCTCAGATTTTATTATGTAAATCCCATTATTCAAAGTTGCCTAAATCCATTTAGAAAATCTTTAAAATTGGGAATTCTTAAAGTAAGTTTATTGGCTTTTCTGATCCATTTTTGTTTGGACCAAAAACCAGTATTGTACAAAGTATTAAGTATATATTTTTATATTTACTGAAATGGACTGTGGTGACTTTGGATAATAAGGAAAAGTTTAATATTAAAGCCATGTTTATTACAGTATAATTAACATGTTAAACCATGGGATAAATGCCATCAATAAAAACTATGAAATATTGTCTGGCCTTTGTATACCTCCAAAGGAAGGCAGCAGCAGCAGCAGCGGTGCAGGACGAGGCAGTCTGTGGCAGCAGAGGTGCAGGGTTTTCACAACAGCTGCTTTTTGGCAGGGCGCTTGGTGCTGGATTTAGGGAAACCTTAAATTCCAGGGGGTCCCTGCTAGTGATGGGAGCTTCCCTATGTCCTCACTTGAACCAACTTGTCTGCATCTCAGCTGTCTGGCTGCAGGTGCTGGAGGTCAGTCTGAGAGCTTTGTTCACTAGCAGCCTGCCTGTAAAGGACAGGGAATGTGGGATTCCCAGGGAATCACTCTTCCCCTGTTAACACTTGTGTTGGAGGAGTCTCTTAGCAGTTGTTACGCGTGTGGTGCTTTGAGGGCTGCTCTTCTTTGGGGGTTGGAGGTTGCGGTATTTAGAGGGTGTTTGAGGGCTGGTCACTGGCCGCAGTTACAGCTGGGAATACTCCCCCTGTTCCCTTCCTATTGCAAAGGGAGGAAGACCTGACCTTTCCCTAGCTTTCCAAGTGTGGGGCTCCTTGCTGTCTGCCCCACAAGCAAGTGCCCTTGTAGCCAAGGGAAGGTATCTCGTGAAGCACCAAAGGGGCTGGTGCTGCGGGGAGCCTCGCAGCCAGCGCAGGCCTCTCACTGGCATTTCTGTAACTGGAAGAAGTGGAGCGGGACGGGAAAGCAAAGGTGCAGTTCCTGGGCAGAGTGGCACCCTGCCCCTGCTGCCTTTGCAGGATTATATGCTGCTATGTAGCCCCAGCTTTCTAAAGCTACGAGACCGACTTTACCTCTCTGAGCCCTTTAATGTGCTCAGCTTGCAGCAGGGAAAAGCTGCTGTGCAGCCTGCACGGGAACCAACCAGCTGGAGGTTACCAGAACATAATGCACAGATAGCTCCCGGGCCAGGCCTGCATTCTTAGCTCCTAATGTTGTTTTTTACCCACGGTGCAAGTAGTAATATTTTTCTCCATCATGAAAAATACTTCACCTTACGCCAGAACCATTAGCAATAAACTTTCAGCCCACTCCTTTGCCTTTTCCTCACATCTTGAATCTTAGTTTCTGAGTCACTGCGCCATGAAGTAGATGAAAGGATTTTTTTGTGTTCATACTGAAATTGAAAATAGGGGGAAAAAAAAAAACCTTACAAGGAGCTGCTTTTAAGCGTGAGAGCTTCAGCTTGTGTCAGGCTGAGTGCCAGTTCAGAGCTTCTAGGTAGGCTCTCACTTAAGAGCACAGGCTGGTGTAGGAGGGATAAAATAACACCCCTGCCCTCCTGAGCTCGCTAAGGGCTGGGGTGTGCGCTCAGCTAACACCTTTGAGGGGTCTTACAGGGAGAAACGACCCAAGCTTTGGCAGACTTTCGTGAATGGCATTCACCACTTAGTTACTGAGAGGCTGCTATAAAAATGACCAAGTGGTGCGTTTGCAAGACTGAAACGATCCCTGAAAGAAGCTGGGAGAGGTCACTCAGTGTGGCTCCCCTAACCACCCGGGGAACCGGCTCTGCAAACACCTACTCATGCAAAGCCTCCTTACAAATGGGGATCAGACCAGGTAGAGACCCCAGAAGAAAACTCAGCAACATTCTTGCTACACCTAAGACCACCAGTAATCAATCCAGAATATTAGAGAATATCAACGGGGCACCGGGAAAGAGATCACTTAACTCACATACAGATCCCATTTCTGCTGAGCCCTCTAGCTAAAGAGCCCAACCTACTGGCTAGCAGTTAAACACTGGGAAGGTGGTTAAGGGGTTTCTGGAGGAATTCTGAATTCAAACTTAATGTCAAGAGTGCTGCATCTATAACTTCCCAAGACACTCAATAACAGCATGATAAAACAAATTACCAGACCTATATAATCATGCAAAATATTAGGATTCTTTATTCAATATTTAAGTTATTCTGAATGTACAGTTAGAATTATAAAGTGAAAGTAACCAGTATTTGTACTTGTGATTTACAGCCATAACACTTGGTTAATATTTTCTGCACGCTCCCCAAATTCTGCATGCTCACTCAACTGTTTTGCTTGGTCTTACAGGTAAGAACAGACAAGTACTTCCACTCCAAACAGAAGCAGGAAAGTTGCCTTTATTGGCATGAGCTGTACTGTACTCTGTACAGAGCTCCCAAAGTTATATACACACACCCCCCACGCCCTAACACTGCAGTGCAACACACCGCGCCCGCAGGCAAGGCGGCCGCTAGATCACCTCCTCGTTAGCTCACACACATGAAATAAGTGACAGTGCTTAAGACAAATTCATGCAAAAAAACTTGTCATATGGACATTCAGCTAAAATACCTGTGAGAGGTGAAAGAGTATGATCGATGAAGCAATAATATCTTAAGGGAAATGATAAACACTGCTCATCTTTCTTTCTGGGCACTTGGCCATTAAACAAACATGATTAGATGTAGTTTTGCTTTACTGTCAAATACTGCAGCTCCCTCCGGCTCAGTCTGTCATAGAACTTAGGCAAGTGCTTGAAAAACAACTTAATTTTCTAGTTATCTGTCAACATCCCAAAATTGTACGCATGACATTTCTTTTAGGCTGGAGTATTTCTAGGAATCCACTTTCCATAGACTGATGAGCAGAAAAGCATCATTTTTGCAGTCACCTCCTTGTCAGGGTAACACTTCCAGATATTACGAGTACTGTTTCTCTCAAACTTCTTTGGCATTTATGAAAAGTCCAATACTTTCAAGGTAGTTGCTGGCTTCACCTTAGAGCAGCAGTACATTTTATTTTCACTTCTGAATCAGCTCCCATTTAATTTAGGAAAAAGAAGCTTTTGATAGTCATCTCCATTGCAAGTTTGGGGTGCTTTTCTGTTATGACTTTTCTTTTTGAGGGAGGAGGAGAGGGAGGGTTTGAAAACAGTCTGGCAATCTGTCATCTTTTGGTATCATCTGATGCCATTTCTTCTTACCACAATAGTTCCTGCTACAATATCGTAGGCTGTTCTGTTATGCTGAAAAAACAGCAGCGTAATAAAAGCAGGGAAAAATGACGCAATAGAAAAATTCTTGATCAGAGCTCGTATGGTAGACCTGCAGAATGAGAAGGAAGTAGTCAGTGCCTTGTTTTCACTTCCCTGCTTACAGCAGTAGCTACTCTGCCTTCAGTTCAGCGCCTCAGCTTTGCACAGCGCAAAGTCAGCCGCAGGAATTTAAGAGGAGATATTTTAACACCTCATGTGGAGAACACTCATGTGATTAAATTAGTATTTCACTCTTAGATCAGAGAATGGCAGAGCCCAACACCTACGTGAAGGTGTCCTTCCCTTCAAAGCATGTGCTTTCCACGCCGTTAGCGTGAGCTAAGGGCACTTACGTTGTCATGCTGACGTTGGAGGACGGAATCACCAACACGCGACTCGGTGCCACAAGAACAGAGGTATCACAGGTCACCACTCGCAGTCCAAGCAAGAACTTCCCCGGGGTTGCTCCACCTGCTCCCCAAATACAGATAATCTGCAAAAAGAAGAGCTCTTTGAGTTCAATAAACTGCTGCTGACTGGTCTAGCAATTTGGTTTCAAACTGTGTCATACAAATTCAAGTGAACCAGAGTCAAACTACTTACTTTATAGACCAATAATAAGCAAAAATTTAAATGATATTTACTCTTAATTTTACAAGTTAATGTTTCTGACTATTTACCTCGTAGAAGCAGACTAGCAATCTGTAGATAAGAGCTACTATCATCATTTTCTGAAGATCTTCCATGGATGTATCTTCATCTATTTCTTCTATTATATAATGCATAGCAAATTTAGAGATGTCCCTGTGTAAAATGAGACTGAGTTTTAAAATTAAAACTTATTTGACCGTTGTCATACTACCGATGTTAGTCTTTTAGTACCAGAATCTAATCCTATAATCAATTAATTGATTACATTATAAATTAATGAACAAAAAGACACTTGGCTTCTTTAACACTTAACGGTAAGTATTAATATTAACAAGTCATTAAAATTAACAGTGGTAGGTTTCATTCCAGGTTCTTGCCAGTTTGTTTAGTCTTTCCTCAATAATGAATAATTCTGTGCAGCCACTTTTGCAATACGACGGCCCAGGTAGAGAACTGCAGAAATGGCTGGAAAATTCCTACAATTCTTGGGAGCGGCACAGGAGATTTTGTGTGTGATCATGTAAATGGGCACAGATGTAGTGCTTGGTGATGCAAGTGATAGGAAAAGGAGAAAGGGAAAAGCTCTTCCCTCCTACTGCCACACAAGGAAGGGAAGACTTTTTCCACCTTTGTGTGATCAGGGTTCTGCACTTTCAAGTAGTGCTGCACGAGCTGATGACATGAGGAAATAAATATCCTGCTGGAAATTAACTCAAAAAGGGAAAGATTCCCCCTCTTTCACCTCACCCTCCCTACTTTGCAGGAGCAACACAGACAGAGTTGCTCCCATCTTGCTCTTACTTGGTGCGAATCCTTTTCAGGCAACTGACAGGAGGGAGGTGCTGTCACCTGAACAAAGCCAGCCCTTGGCATTTTAATTGCATGTTTATTTGAACAATGAGGACAGTTTGCATCGGTATATTTATTATTTTGGACTTGGCCCCACTCTGGGCATCTTTCAGTCTGAGAGGCATTATCTCAACCACCAGTTCACATTTGGAAGGCTCTCTTAGTGGAAAACTTGGATTCTGGAATATATTTGTACAGTAATGGAATTGCTGACAGCACCAAGCCCCGATTCTCCTGATCAGACAAAAGAAATATCTGGTTACACCGATCCGAAACAGAGGAACTAAATTAGGTAGGGGGCAAGACACCCACAGGTGAAGAAACTGGCAAGGAGGAAACACTCCTCAAGGTGAGCGAGCCCATCAGAGGACAACGTGGGAACTGGAAGCTGCTTCAGCATGACATATACGTGATGCATAGGATGCTTCACCCTACTTGTTCAGAAAACCCTTTTAAGCCAGTAAAGACTAGAGCACGATAGCACCACCAGCAATCAGGTGTATGCCTTTTAAACCATATAGGTATTTTACATTCAGAATCTGGAATAATTTATAAAGGGTTTTTAAAATAAGTTCATTTGATAATTGATTTTTCTTTGATGTTTTAAAACAATTTTTAAAATTTTTGGCAATATCATAAAAAAAGATTGTAAGTCTAATTTATTTTTAATAAGGAGTTTGTGACCCTAGGAAAAGTTCTCTGTTTCCCTCAGAAGACCCCAAATCAGAACGTACTTTACAAGAGAATAAACAAGGGCTGCTTTTTCCCCACATCTTTGAAAGATAATCAAGTACCATCACATGCTTAATCACAGCACACAGACCAAAATCACTTCAAAAAACACAAAGCTGTATATAATAATGCTTTAAACTGGTCAACTTACTTTATTCCACTGAGGTGCATGATGCCTAAAACAATGGCTGCCTTGATAAAGAACAGAATAAAAAAATCCACCATCTCTGCTACAAATCTGTGTGCCAACGAAGGGATAACGAACTCCCGACCTGCAACAGGAATAACTGAGATTATCCCAGGTTCCACTGAGTTAAAATGAAGTTAACACTGTGCTCTAAGAGACATTTCCCATTAATGCCACTGCGAGGAATATTCCAAGATCTTCATCCCAAACCAAATCTTTTTCTATAAAATTTTACTAAGAAAGTTATTATGATTCAAAACTGAAATGAAAATCACAAGCAAAAGCCATCTCTGTAAAAGTAATATACCAAAGATGCTTTTATTTTTGCAAACTTCTGTTTGCTACAGCTTCCTGCAGAAGATTTCAGTAAATCTGAGAGCATGCATGAAAGGAAGATTCACTTAACTCCCTAACTGTATCACATCCTTTATTCCCCTCTGCAGCCAGGTTTCAATATGTACCAAACACGAGCTCTCCAAGCAAAACGCAGCCTCCTTGATGGCTCAAATCACCAAACCATGAGCCAAAGCAGATTAAAGTATAGGCCACATTTGAAGCTCTTAACTGTTCTGTGGAATTCCACCCCCCGGATGAGATTTCCAGGGGTTCCTGCTGCACTTGCCCAAGACATGCAGTTGTAGCCACGGGAGCCCGGGTGACACTGGCACCACCAGCATTACCAGCGGCAGGGAGGCAGTGCTGGAGCCAGGAGCTCTCCTCACAGCTGCTGCCTTCTCCAGGCTTCACTTCTCCAAAGCCCCATCTGTTCTTGTAGGGAAAGGGCATGAGGGAAAAGAATATTCCCACTGCGTCTGTTCTACAGGATGTACTGCTGTAACTCCACTGTTACAAAGGACTAAAACAACAGCTATAAACATTCTTGTAGAGTGCTTATTATGGTAAAGCACAGCCCACTGTTTCACAGTTCATAGAAGAATTTCACCAGAGCCCATTTGCCCCTCTGTATTTCCCAAACAGCACAAATAACTATCCACATGAAACAAGCAAAGGTTTTCTGCAGAATTTCAGTTAAAAACATCTATTACTAGAGGCAACTTCCAGGAAACGGCATCCAGGTCTATCAAGTGCTTCTCATACCTCTGGTCTGGCTGCACATACAGGGGAAGAACAGAAGAAAGTGCAAAGACTCTCATCTCGATAAGAACACCAGGCTTTCCTTAGAAGAAGCTTCCACAGTTCTGCTGGTAGGACTGATCTTCCCAGGCCTGCCCCACACGCTGCACAGGGGCCACTCACAGCCCCCGGCCCTTGTGCCCTTTTAAGAAAGGTGCAAGTTTAACTTGGCAGGATCAGGAGCAAATTCTTATTTAATGCAGCTCTCTTTACATGTTTATTCCATACCTGCTTCACTGACAGCCCTGTGCCAATTCTACTGAAGAGCATGACTGTTACGTAAATAATCCTTAGGTGGATTCAAGTCTGATTGTCAACAAGTTGTCAGGAAAGCTCTAATTAAAGACGCTTTGACTGAGACAGGAGGGAACAGAGCCAACCTCCCCAGCAAGCCACACACTCCTAGAGTGCTGCAGAACATGAAGCCTATGAATTCTTTTAAGATGAGCGTGTTCACTGCAGTTAGTGACACTAAGTTTTGGCTGAATATCCAGTTACTGCTTCAGTCCAACATAAAGGAAAAAGGTAACTGTTGGGGACCGTGCAAATCAGCATCCATGGTATTTTAAACTCCACCGTATCAAGCAACTTCCACAAGCCATCAACTCTGGCAGATTTATGCTGCTGTGCCTTAACGCTGCTTCTGGCATCAGAAATGCACTGTTTTGTCAGGAGTTACTATCAGTACGGGAAGGACAGCTGCATGAAATAGGCCTCAAAGTCTTGCATGAAACTAGTAATAAGGATGGGTTTGTAAACAGGGGGTTAACAAAATTACTTTGCTGCTATTCCCAGAATAAAAGCAGTAAACTCCTACATTAAAACTAGGAGAAGAAATCAAGAGGGGTGAAGGGAGCAAACATCTTGATTTCTGATGACTAAAATCTACCAACAACCTCTGGTAGTACCCAGAGAGCTACTTACACTGGTGCTCTGCCATATCTGCATGCAGACTGCACAGGAAGCAGCGGCTAAATTGCCCCTTTCGACATCCTCGATAAAGCTCTGCAACGTTAAACTGCCTCTTGGTTCAGTTTACATGCACGCAGGCAGCAAACCACAGGGGCTCAGGGACGGGCAGCCGTCCTGTCCTGCCAGCGGGAGGCCCTCATCTGCAGCAGCTATAATCGCTTTAGCTGCTCCAGATAAATCCATATGCAATCAGGAACGAAAGCACTGGAACAACAGCACTTGTTTGTTGCTCTGACACTTCACCGTATCACGGGAGCGATCCCCTTCGGGCATCTGGGGGCTGCAGCAGTGTTCAACATTCGTAACAGCCACATTCCTGCCGACCTCAGCTCGGCAGACCGGAGTGCTATTCGTGCCCTAAGCTACCTCCAGCGTACGGCACTAGCTAGGCACTAGCTGAAGAGCTAGGTAAAAGTCCAAGAGCTATTCCGGCCTGGGTTTGATCCACACCATCTTTTCCGGTGACTGGCAATAAATATCTTTTCACAAGCAATACACAAATCAGGGCACATTTAAAAGAAATACGACTTATTTTTAAGACCACCACGAAAACAACATCTGCCCAAACCCACAACAAAGCAGCAAGTTAGGGAGCTGGGTTCTCTGTCAAAACAATAAGAGAGTTTCCGCCGACGTTCAGGCACTGGCTGACCCAGGGAGAGTGCTCCGGGTCGGCGAGGCCGTACTTTGCCCTGGAGAAAGCAGGGGAACGTGGCTTTTCTCCAGTCCCTTCGGCAGCCCGTTGCGTGCCCGCAGGCACCGCCGCATGCCCTGGCTCGTCACCGAGCCGCTCCCGGGGCCGTGAGCGATCGCCCCTACTCCAGCTCGGCCCTCCGACGCCGCCAGGGCCAAAGCTCGCTTGACCGCAGCGCAAACGCAAGCGGGAGCCGGGCTATTCCGCTGCTAAGGCCCTCGGAGCCACAACAGACTGGACAGAAACCTTCCCGTGCCCTAAAACGCTCAGCGGACACGAAAGCAACAAGCCACAAGCACGAGGCGCTCCCCCGGGCCACGGCTCCCCCTTGCCGGGGCCCTTCTCACCTGCGGGCCGCGCCGCC